TCATGCAGCCACTGCCACAGACCCAGGGGGTCAGGGTTTAGCACTAGAGACCTGGATCCAAACCCCAGGGTACAGAGCTGCTGAAGAGCAGGGCAGAGGAAGGTACTGGAATGGTGGTGGTGCCCAGTGGGGTCCTGGGGCCCCCTTCTGGGAACATCCCCCATCCCCAGACGGGAGGAACCCGCCAAGCCTGGCACACGGCACAGCCCAGCAAATGTTTATCCAACATCCCTCCCCAGCTGGCCAGGCCGGGGCCCCACACACACGCCAGGCCACGTGCAGGGCCACAGTCGTGCCCCGTGGGATGTCCCCGACGAGAAATGACTTCACAGGCTCGCTGGGACAGAGCGAGGGGTCATCCCAGACCGGCCAAAGCTGAGCGAGGGGCGTTTAAGGGAAGGGAACAGGCACCAGCGCCAATCCTGCTTGGAGCAGGAGAGGAGGGCGGCCACTCCCCTGCTGCTCTTGGGGAGCCAAGCCAAACATCTGCTCCCGCCTCCGGGCTGCGCCAAGCCCGAGGAGCTGTGAGGAAGCCAGAGTCAGGCCAGCCCGAGCACGGCGGGTGTCAGCTCCAGAGCATCCCTCCAAGGAGGATGCTGCTGGCAGCCCCCAGCCCTGCTGGAGGGGACCACAGGCCCTGCAGCACCCGGCTGCCAGCAGCACCACCACGGTGGCTTTGGACAGTGCCATGAGGTGTGCCATGAGCTGGACATACATGCCCCACAGTCCCAATGCCAAAAGCTGCTGCCTCAGCTCCATGTCATGCCCACGAGCAGAGTCAGGGCAGTACCTGGCTAACCAGTTGCTGCCATAGCTGTGGTGGGATCCACCTCTAACAAGGTCAAAAGGACATCTCAAATCACACTGGTCCCAGGGTCACACAAAGACTCCCCCCTCAGGGCTCTGGAAGCCCCAGGGGACACGAACAGCCCCAGGGACCGGTTCTGGAGTGATGCCCCCACGCCGCAGCCCTGCAGCCCCTGCAGTGCACAAAAGACCATCACTGCTCCCGCAGCCACCGCAACGGAAGGAGCTGACTCAGCAGCCAGCCCTGCTCACTCCCTCTGCACCCCACGAGCTCCAACTGCAGCAAAGCCTCACAGCATCCCACTCACTCCCCACCATGACCCAACTGGACCCAGGGAACACCTGGGGGTGCTGCTGCACCAGCACCCAGGACAGGTCAGGTCCTGAGCACACACAGCACAAGGAGAGACACCAACGTGCAGCTTCTCTGTGGTGGCACTGCTCACACATGCAGGGCATAGCCAGAGCAAAACCAGGGTAAACCTGGCTTGCACATCCCTGCTCCTGCTCCTCACCATTGCCCAGTTCATGTGCAGGTCTGCACGGAAAGGTGCCCATGCTGCGGCACTGCGGGCCCCACACTGTGGCCATGCAGACAGAGAGGTCCCTTGGGGACCTCTCAGTGGGGTGACATTGGTGGGGTGACCTCCAGTGTCCAAGAAACATCCTCAGCCTAGATGGGAAAGTGTCACTGGTGGCACCACACCCCTCCTGGAACAGGCATTGGGCAAGCAGCCACTGAGTGGTGGCAAGTGGGAATCAGAGTTGACCAAGAAAGGGAACAAAAATGTTTCACTGCTGGCGAAACAGCCCAGGGCTGGGTGCTGTCTCTGCCCATGCCCTGTCCATGCCCCAAGGAGAGACAGGACAGAACAGAAGAGCAGCATCATTCCTTCCACCCATTCCGACACCCCGAGGTGCATCCTGGTGGGCATTCCCTGTGCCAGGTCTCTGCCCTGCTGTAGAGCACAAGGAGGATATGGTGACACCAGGGACAAAAGAAGGGATGTGCTGCCAAACTGGGGGGGCAGAGCCAGAGCTTTTCACCCCCTGAAACCGGCTGCAGGTTGCCGCTGGAAGAAGTGTCAGGCTGATGGACGCAGGTATGGCTGGACTAGGAGCCAGGATGCCGGCACATTTGGCTGACGCAGGAATGATGCTGGGGTCTTGGATGTCCCCAGCCAATCCCTGCTCAAACCTGACTATCCCACTCCCTTTCTGAGCTGGGCCCCAGGTCCCCCACTGCCTCCTTGGCTGGGCTCACCCCAATCTCCACCCAGCTGAATCCACCCCAACACCCCACAGGCAGCTCCCCTGCCCCGGCGGTGCCTCACCTACCTCAGCCCTCGCTCCTTCCAGGCTGCTTCCCTGCCGAGCCATGGGGATGCTGTGCTGCATCCCACAGCCCCACACGTCTCCAACAGGGACGTGTCACCATGTCCTCTGAGCCGTCTCTGACCTACTGCCCTACAAGCCCGGGTGAGCGCCGGCGCCGTGCAGGGGACGCTGCCCCTGGGCTGGGGGCTGACGGCCCCATCTGCAGCACGCGGCTCCTGCCCGGTGCATTAGCAGCACCGGGAGATGGGGCCTGGGGCGGTGGTGGCTTTCTAGGTCAGAGCCAGTGAGGAAGCTGGATGAGGGGCTGTGCTGGGTGAGGGGCTGTGCTGGGTGAGGGGCTGCGCTGGATGAAGGGAGGACAGATAAGGGGCTGTGCTGGGTGAGGGGAGGATGGATGGGGGGATGCACTGTGTGAGGGGATGTGTTGGGTGAGGGGAGGATGGATGGGGGGATGCACTGTGTGAGGGGATGTGTTGGGTGAGGGGAGGATGGATGATAGGCTGTACTGGGTGAGGGGATGCATTGGGTGAGGGGAGGATGGATGATAGGCTGTACTGGGTGAGGGGATGCGTTGGGTGAGGGGAGGATGGATGAGGAGCTGTACTGAGTGAGGGAATGCATTGGATGAGGGGAGGATGGATGAGGGGCTGCACTGGGTGAGGGGATGCATTGGATGAGGGGAGGATGGATGAGGGGCTGCACTGGGTGAGGGGATGTACTGGCTGAGGAGATGCACTGAGTGAGGAGATGTGCTGACTGAAGGGGGAAGATGGATGAGGGGCTGTGCAGGGTGAGTGCTCCTGGCCAGCAAGGCAGCTCTTTGTCCCACCTGGCTCTGGATAGGAGGGGATGCCCCTGCTCTCCTGCCCTGGCTCTGCACCCACTGCCCAGACACCTGGACAAGGCACTCTGGTGTCCCCCGGCACCCATGCCCTGGGGACAGAGGACCTGCCATGCTGCCCACTCTGAGGACCCCCCCCAAGTCCTGCTGTGGGGCCATAAGGGATGGAGGTATGACTCGGTCACTACACAGCCTTGCATGCCCACAATGTCCCAGCAAAATAGCTCATGCCCAGGACATGTCCCTGTGGATTAGGGGGTCCTGTGCTACCACCCTGGGGAGGGGTACCCAGCACAGAGCAGCCAGTACAGAGCACCCAGTCTCTCTCTGGTACGGCACAGCAGGGAACTTGGGGCATATCCAGAGCATCATGCTGGGCACTGTGCAGGAACAAGGACTGTGGCACGCAGCACCACTGACAGCCTCACCCACACCAGGGCACTGTGGTGCTGCCAGGGCCTTTCAGAGGCTCAGCCATGCAGGGCTCCATCCCCAGAGCTTGTCCCTTCCCAGAGGAGAAGTAAATCCTGCCTGGAGTAGCGCAGGGCTGAGCCACCGTGGGTCCCTCCCCCTGCCCACATTCCACCTGCTCAGGGGCTGATGGAGACAAAATGATGCTCTGGTCACCCCTCCCGGCAGTGCCTCTGAAGCCAAGGGCACCCCAAGGTCATCTGCCTGCATGAGCAGCACCAAGATGAGACAAGGGGGGAGATGGGGAGTGGTGGAGCCCCTCATCCCCACAGCCAGCCCTGAGAGAACCCAGCCCTCTAGGGCAGCCCAAATCCACCTCACTGCCCGTCATACCCAGCGGACCAGTGGCCAGCAGCAAAAGGTGACATGTGCCATGTGCCACCTCTGGCAATGGGTTACGATCTCCAAAAGAGTCCATGTTGAGCCAGCACAAAGCTTCCCTGTTCACAAGCCCACGGCAACCCCCAAGGTAACCCCACATGCCTATGGGAAGGACGGGTCTGACACCCACGGTGCTACAGGCGCTCTCACCCCTGAGCTGGAGCATGGCAGGGGCAGAGGCCAGCAGAAACAGCGTGTCCCCTGCACAACTGCAACACGTGCCTCCGGGCCATATCTGGGGAGTGCTGACCCCAGGATGTGTGCAAAGCCAGGGGCTGTGATCTACTCTGCACCAAGCTGACGTGACTACAGGCACCCCAGGAGGGCCAGAGCAGCACTGTCAGGAGGCCAAATACCTCCTCCTGCTCTGGGACAGCTCAAACGCCTGAGTTATTTATCTCCTGTGCTGAAACAGGAAACCTCCAACATGCTCAAACCCTGGACCCTTGCCAGAGTCAGGGGAACCTCAACAGCACAGCAGGAGCTGGACACATCTGGAAAGAAAATGTGAGCCCTGGGTGTGCTGTGTTGTGCCCATCTGGCAGAAGATGCCCCGGGCCCCGTGGGTGGAGGATGGAGGCTGACGAGGGTCCCAGAAGGAGGGGACCCTGCTCAGCAGCACACCCTGCTCCACACAGTGCCACCCATCAGCAGTGACACCTTGGGGCTCACTTCTCCCTGGGGTGCTGAGAACTGACCCAGCCTGTCCCACCACAGGCCACCAGCACTCCCAGCCACAGGGCATCCCCACAGTGCCAGGGTCGCAGGAAGCAGCTCTGACTCACTGGTTGAGAGCATTTCTGAAAGCAGCAACATTCACCCCAGCAGGCCTTTGGCTCAAGGGTCCTGCAGCCACAGACCATGTGCTTTTCTCAGCCCCCTGCTCTGGTAACATCCAGATCAAGCCAGACACTTCTCATATGTCGGGAGATCAGCTCATCCCAGCTCAGAGGGGCACCAGCCCCAAGAAGTCCCAGTTGCCCCAGCAACAGCAGCAGTGGCAGTGGGAAGACATCTCCTGGGATGTGGGGACACGATCCAGCCGGACTGGCTGTGATCTATGTGCTCCTCCACCCATCCCCACTGTGCCAGGTGTCTCCCACCGCCTGGGAAACCTCCTAGAGAGCCCCAATCCAGGCACGACCCCTGCGCAGGCACTCACCCCGTGGTGATGTCGTCATCCTCCGTCAGCGTCTTCCCCATGAGGTCGCTGTCGCTCATGTACCCCGACTTCAGCTCCACATCGTCGGTGTCCAGCGCCTCGACCAGCTCCAGGCGGGAGATGTGGCTCAGCTTGCTCGGGCTGCGCATGGGCATGGTGTGCGAGTAGTGCGCCCGCTCCCCATGCATGTACCAGCTGGGGGTGCCCTCGGAGCGGCACGTCCCCCCGACCGACGGCGCGTCCCCCGCCTGCAGGCGCGGGCTCGACTGCCCATAGCGCCAGGACAGCGGGGAGGAGCGGTTGGAGAGGCTGGAGACGCTCCGGGGGTTGGCTTCGTCGCTGTCGTAGCAGGTCATCTCCAGGGAGCTGTGAGGATGGGGGCGGGGTGTTAGGGCAGGGCATGGGGGGAAATGGAGGTCTGTGCCCTGCCTCACCCCCCCCAAACTGGAGCTGCAAGTGCTCAGAAACCAAAACTGCCCACTTTGAGGCAGCCAGGCAAGACCAGCAGTGTGGGCACAGGGACACTGGCCTGGGCTCCTTCATCTCAGCTGGTCCCCTCCTAGCCTGCCTGGTGCCAGCCCAGTGTCCCCCACTTCAAGACCCACTGGGACATCCACAGCACCAGTGTCTAGTGGTTCCCTTGTCTCCCCAGGGACAGTGGAGCAGGATATGAGGTGTGATAGGGGCTTTGTGCCTCCCCACAGCCCTAATCACCCCACAAAGACAATGCTCCACCACGGCTCTGCCCACCCACTTCGGAGCAGGGCCAGGGGTGCCACCAGGGCTGGCAGCAAACACACCTGGGAGAGGGGTCAGCACCATCCCAGAGACCAGCCCTGGCCCTGAACCCCAGCTGTGCTGAACCCCAATAATAGGACACCTTCAGTGGAAAGCCCAGACGTGCTTCCCTGTGCCTGGGCTGCTCCTCCTTGGCCACTTCCCTCCCAGCACTTCAACATCTGCACCCAAATATCACTCCAGACCCACAGGACAGGACGAGTTGGGGTGGCAGCAGCGATCCCGGGGGATGTGGCAGCAGGACATGCCAGGGAGCAGAGGCTGTGAGCAGAAGGTTGCTGAGGGACAAACCAGGGACCAGGTCCCTGCAGCAGTGTTTCACACTGAACCTATGAAGAGTGAACCATCACATCTGGGCCGGAGGGGACTCCCCAAGACAGGACTGCCCGGCCCCAGGGGCTGCCCACAAGCGTAGTGCTCTTCAGCCATCCCAGAGCCCATGAGTGCTTCAGGAACAGGGAGTTTCATCACTCCCCACACCCTTCGGGATATATTTTGGGCAAACAGTGATGCTGAGACTAAATTTAGGCACCAAAAATGATTACTTCTTGGAGCAGCTTCTTGGGAACCCACAGCCCTCAAATTGGCTCCAAACGCTACTATCAGCAAATTATTCCCTAGCTTGGATTAAACGTTCCTGCAGGAGCACCCAAAGCCAAACCCTGGCTGCAGCATTGAATCTAAAACAGGGAACTACAGAAAAAAATTAGGAAGTTGGTTAAAGTGGAACTAAAAGGGGCAGCTAAAAGGGGTTTGTTTTTGTTGGTAGCACAAAGGATGTGCTGTCGGCAGCTCAGAGCAGATGCCAACCACATCTCTGAGCAGGAGGAAGAGAAGCCTCACCTCGAATCCTGGGGTCAGTTCTGGGCCCCTCATGACAAGAAAGATATTGAGGGGCTGGAGTGTGTCCAGCAAAGGGCAACTGAGCTGGGGAAGGAGCTGGAGCAGCAGGAGCAGCTGAGGAAGCTGGGGGGGCTCAGCCTGGAGAAAAGGAGGCTCAAGGGGGACCTTCTCGCTCTCTGCAACTCCCTGACATGAGGGTGGAGCCAGGTGAGGGTTGGGCTCTGGTCCCAGGGAACAAGGGACAGGATGAGAGGAAACAGCCTCAAGTTATGCCAGGGGAGGTTCAGGTTGGATACTAGGAAAATTTCTTCACAGAAAGGCTGGTCAGGCCCTGGCACAGGCTGCCCAGGGCAGTGGTGGAGTCACCATTCCTGGAAGTGTTCAAAACACGTGTGGATGTTGCACTTGGGGACATGGTTTAATGGTGAACATGGCAGTGCTAGGGGAACAGCTGGACTCGATGGTCTTAGAGGCCTTTTCCAGCCTAAATGATCCTGTGATTCCACGATTCTCTAAGCCTCTGAGAAGCTCATACAGCCCTGCAGCTGGGTGCAAAGACTGCCAGGAACACAGTGACGTCTTTCAGGAATCAACTTGCATCCTAGTGAGGGAAGAGCAAAACCACTGGATGGAAGAATACAGTGAGGAGAACAAGAGAAATTTGAGTAATAGTTTGTGGAAGGAATAAAGAGAGAGCCCAAAGTGACTACAGCACACTGGTGATGCAGGCACATCCAGAGGATGGCAGATGACATCTGTATTGGACAGACTTGTAGGAAGTGTTCTCAAGAGCAGAATGAGTGGGTATGTGTGTAATTACAACGTACCAGGGAAGAGCTGACACAGTTTTAGGAAAGGAAAGTCTGGCTCACAGCCACGGAGAAGCTCCTGGAGGAATGCAGGGAGCTGCCGAGGCTGCTATGGGCTACTGAAATAAAATAAAGCTTCCAAATAAATTCAGCCACCATGGGATAAGAGGGAAGATCCTCACATATTTAAGTCCTGCTGAAAGGGACAGAGTGCAGGGGTAGGGATCCCTGGGCTATCCATACCCATTTTAGTCTGTGGCAGGGATGCAGCTGAGGCCTCCACCACGTGATGTATTCAGAGCTCATCAAGGAAAGGAAGTGAGAGTGAAGAGTCAAATCCCACCAGCAATGCTAATTTAATCACCCTTAATATCCTTGCCCTATTTCCCTAAGACCCGAGCTGATGAAGGATTTCCAAAGGAGCCGAGCGCTGGGGCGAGGAGGGGGGTGAAGTTTGAAACCGATGAAGGTGAACACGACGCAGGCCTGGCTCAGTGTGGGCAGTGCCAGGCTCTGACCCAGCTCCTGTGCCAAGCAAAGGGATGGCAGAGCTGTAATGGACAATCTCAGCAAATGGCCAGCTCGGGGAATATTGTTATGGCCCATGCAAATCCCACCACCCCAGTGCTCTGCTGCTCCTGGCTCAGAAAAGATCTGGGAAGTGCAGCAAGGATGAGCAAAGATCTAGAAATTTTGGGTGATGAAAAGGGAGATGAAGGGGCTCCTTCATCCTGGGTCAGGCTGTTTGAGGGGCGACACAGGAAGGTCTGTAATGGTGAGAGGGGGCTGAAGGGTGGGAGGAAGCTGCAGCTTTTTGTCCCTCCCAAGACAAAATTCAGGATCGAGGGAGACCACGAGGTGGCAACACACTCTAGGAGAAGGATGTTCCCACATCCTCACTTTCCCAACTGTCTGCCACCCACTCAGCCTCTGCAAATCCAGAGAGGAGCAGAAACCCTGCGGGGCTCAAGTGAGAGACCCGGGGGGACACAGGCAGTCCCAGGTGTGGTCAGAGAACCCTGAGCACACACACTGTGCTCTGGTTCCCCACACACTGCTCACCCTGTCCCCAGCACTGCCATCCCCTGGTCCCAGTCTGGGCAGGGCACCCCAGGGTATCCCACCTCTGCTCCTGGGCTCTGGCTGAGGGTTCCTCCATCATCACCCTACACAGTGCAGAGAAACTGAGTCAGGGATGGGGATGGAGCCTCTGGTCCAAACCTGAGTGGGCACAGGGGATACCCTTACCTCTGGTGGTCCACTTGGGGTTACCCAACCACTGGGAACACACCCACCTCTCTCTGCCCTGTCAGCTCCGCTCTTTGCCACCACCCCCCAATTCCCAATGTCCCAGAGCAGTGTCAGGGACAGGGCTCTGACACACCCCACAGATTTAGGGGCTTCTCTCCAAGCCTCCATGCACAGGGTCCTCAGGACACAGGGCACAGCTGATTCCCTCCCATCCACATGGCCCTCACCAGGAGCAGAACTGCTTCCCGGCTGCCCCGGGAAGGACACTGATTATAGGGAAGGGGTGGTGGGAGTCCAGTGTTGGAGCCTCACCTGTGAGACACCTGAGAGCCCCTCAAGCTGGACATGGTCTCCTCCAGGTTCTGCCGAAGGTCCAGCACATTCTGCACTGTCCTCTTCCTCTGGGACTCGGGGTCTGTGGACAGACAAGGTGATGGATTTAAAGGGAAAGAGGGATGGATGGATGGATGGATGGACAGATGGCTTTTGCCCATGGCCATGCCCATCGGCCCTGGCTCTGTCCACCAGGAGGGAACAGGGCAAGGCTGGCACCAGACTGGAGCTGCACCACCCCAAAAGGCTACTCCCAAGTGTGCAGCTGGGATGGGGATGTCCAGTCTGGAAAGGATAAGCTGGTGGAGACCAAGTGGAGCCACAGGACCCACAGAGGTGACAGGAGGCCAACTACAGCCAGATGACCCTGAAGCACTGTGACCCTGCTCCATGGGGCCATGCAGGAGCAAGTCTTGAAAGAAATGTCCCCAAAACTGCCCCTGTGTCACCCAGGTGATGGGGGTGCTCCAGCCTGGGGACATGGGTACAGCAGGACCAAGGGGAGTGGAGGACACAGGGCCTCACTCACAGAGGGGTGGCTGCTTCTGCAGGGGGCTGGGGCAGCTGGTGGGACTGAGCCCCCCATGGGCACAGCCCAGGGCTGGGAACCCCCTAGCTCTGGCTGCCCTGGAGCTTCTCCAGGTGTGCAGACCCACAGCACAGGTGTGCACACATACACACAGGCATGTACCCCCCAAAATACACATGTGCACACGCATATACCTGCACCACAACCACTTGTGCACACACGTGCAGATACACACAGGCACACCCACATACATGTGCATACACACCTGCACACACAAGCGTGTGCACACCTCCCAGACACACCTGCACAGGTGTGTGTGAACACAGACACCCGCACAGAGGAGGGGGGTCGTTCCTGGCACCGCCCTGGCAGTGGGCTCAGGGCCATGGCTCCAGTCCCATGTGCCTGCCCCACCCGCGTGTACCCTGGGCGCTAACAGCCATGCCACTGCGGCTTTGATCCCCGATTTCAGGCCTTTCAGCTGCAGCCTGCCATGGATCCGCAGTGACAGTGGGCGCCAGGGACACGGGATGTGGCTCCTCCTAATGTAACGTGGCAACCAGTGCTTCGGGATTTGCAACGGCACCGTATGAGCTGCAGCGACACAAGGACTGGGGACACTGCCGGCACACACCCCAGACACAGGGATACAGGGACAGGGAACACCACTGGCACACATCCTGGCTGACAGGAACAGGGGACTCCGATGGCACACACCACAGCTGCAGGGACACAGGGATGGGGGACACCGATGGCACACAGAGGGACACCCTGGCAGCTCCCCACAACGGCACAGCCACACAGTAGTGCTCAAGCAGGGCTCGTGTCCCTTGTCCTCATCACACACCGGCCACGCCACAAGTGCCCATGGGTGATGCTGCCCCACCCCCGGGCTCAGTCACCCACTGGCCTGGGCAGGAGCACCTCAGACCAGTGAAGCGGCTCCAATATACGCATGAGCCTGGAAGGGTGTGACAAGCAGGAAGAGCCCTGATGAGACGGGTTCAATCAAGCAGGTTAAAGCCAGTTGTGGAAGAGGTAAAAGGGCTGGTGAGCCCATAGGGCACCCAACGTGGCCAGCACACTCCATCACTTAAAGGACACCCAGCCCTGCATGTGTTTGATCCCCCCAGTCCAGCTCCCAGAACCAGGCTCAGCAGGACACTAGTCATTATTAACTCATTACTAAATCTCCACTGTGGCCCATGCACGTTGGAGGAGTTAATCAAAGGCACGGAGGCTCCAACTGGTCCCCAGAGCCACAGGATGGGGATGCACAGGCAGTCCGGGCAGAATGATGGAGCTGAGGTGGCTGCACACACGGAGCCAGGGCACAGGGGAGGCTCAAGGGGCCCTCAGTGCTGGAGGCAGCACCCACCCCACTCTGCAGCTAAGGACAAGGGGACACTGTGCCACTCTGGTGGGGCAGGCAGAAAAGGTCATGTTGGCACCTCAAAGCTGTCAGACTCTGCCTGGGTTGCCTGGAAAGATGGATTTTCAGGCTTGAAATGGCGGGGTAGGAGCCTGCATCCAAGTCCACAGCCGTCACACTGCAGTCCGTAGGGCAGTGGGAGATTTAGGAGGGGACACACATGTGAACCTCAAGGAAAAGCAATAAAAGAACCACCAGTGTCCCCAGGGAAGGACTCAGCACCCTTAGCTCCTTCCCCCTGGCCCCATTCGGTGGGTGCTGTCACCCAGCACCCAGCTTCCGCAGCCAGAGAAGGCAGCACGCACAGCCCAGCAGAGCTGTGGCCCTGCGCGCCAGGGCAGGACAGACCGCGATGGGATGAAGAGCCACTGCTGTCCCCTGGCGCCAGCAGTGGCTCTCACCCCCTGCCAGCTCGACAGTGTGCTCCTCCCGGGCATGGCTCCCTCCCAAAAGCCCGACTGCCTCCCCCATGGCCACCCGCAGCCATTCCCCCAGGCACCGAGCCAGCGCTGGGGCCTGGCGCTGCCTCCTCCCCGGGCGCCGCTGCCAGCGGGGCTGCTACAGACGTCCCCATCCAAGGAGCAGTGGGGCGAGCCTGCGCTGTGTCCCCAGCTGCCCCGAGTGAGGGGCCAGCACAGGGGTGCCACCTCCTCTGCACTGCTCTGCAGCTGGGGCACTCACGGGGAGCAACAGCATCCCAGGGCTCAGGGACAGGTGTTTCAGGGCAGTGGCACTGACCTGCATCCCCAGCTTCACCCTATGACACCACTGGCCATCCATGCCTGGATGACACTACCCCAGTTTTTGGGTGACAGTCCAGGTCACTCTGGGCTCCAGGAAAAGCAGCAGCTCTCATGCAGGAAAGGGCCAAACTAGGACTGGAGGAGCTGCTCACCCACCTCTGGCACACATCCCACTGCCAGCACTGAAGTGCCACTGTCTGTCCCCACAGTGCTGGCCAGGCAGTGACTCCAGGTCTCTGCAGCCTGTTCCCCAGGGACAGCAGGGGGTTGGGGGCTGGCTCAGGGCTGGCCAAGTCACCACATGCGGAAGCTGAGTCGAAACCCAAGCTGTTGGGAGAGGCTGGAGTGTGGGAACAGCAGGAGCACGCTGGATTCCTCCCTGCATTGATTTAGCAAGCTTGCATAGCCAGATGTTTCCAGCTGCTGAAATGTGGAGCAGCAGAGAAGGCTCAGCCTGTGCTGTGGTGGGGTCAGTTGGACACCCAGTCTCGGCCAGGCAGCTACGGCTGGGATGTGTCCCACAGCGTTCCCCTCTCCACCGGGGCTGCAGGCTCAGGGACTGGCGTCTCTCCCGCCCCAGCTCTGGCCCAGCCTGCAGATCCTCAGCAGCTCCCACTGCTCTCACAGGTTCTGTCCATCCTACTGTTAGAGAGGGAAGGGGGTGCTGGCTCTGGCCCTGTGCCTCATTCCAACCATGCAGAGGTGGAGCCACTGTCCCCAAGCCCCGCACTGGGGCCACCAAGCCCCACTGCCCAAGTCACTTGCCCCCGTGCCAGGTTGGGTCTCCCTTGCCCATGCCCTCTGCTGTCCTTGGGCAGCTCTCACGGATCCCTCAGCCTCCCCAGCTGCTCCTTTCTCAACAGAGCTCTCTCAGCACTCTCTTAAACATCAGCAAACATGATACGGTTCCACTTGGAACATGGGGAAACTGAGGCAGGAAGGTCCAGCACACCCCCGTCCACCCCAGTGCCTGCAGCACTCCCTGGCACGGCCTTCAGCACGTTACACACACTCAGTGTACGTTGGTGCCCCAACCCACGTGCTGCCCATCACCCCCATCTCCTGCCCAGCACAGCTGGGGCAGCAGCAGGTACCACTGCCAGCAGAAGGAACATCTGCAAGGTGGGATGCAGTGCTGGAGGCAGCCAAGGAGGAAGAAGAAGAGGAGAGGGAGGAAGGAGAGAGCTGTGCTGCGAAGGGCTGGCTCAGGGCACGGTGCTATGTGCTGTGGGTCTGACTGTGACAGGCAGCACAGAACCATGGCTGGATAAGGTCAGGGAGCCCCAGGTTGTACTCATGTCCAGCCCTTCCCACCACCCCCAGAGGGAGTGGCAGCAGCTCCTCTCTCCTCATCTTGGGGCACAGCCATGTCCTGCAGACGGGCTCTGCCGACGTGGCCAAGTACACCAAGGAATGAGGAAATCATCAACTCCAAACGGCTCTGACAGCTCATTTCAAAGGAGCATGTGGCCACCAGCTCCCACTGGGGCTAGGCAGGGCTGCGTCCGTAGCACACGTGTGGCCCATGTGCCTTGGCACAGGAACCCGCGCGTGTGTGTGTTTGCATCATGCATATGTTCATCTGTGGGCCACATGGCAGCAAAAGCCCACAGAAAAGTGTGGGGGTGTGCAGGTGTGTCACCTACGCCTGTGCCCACGTATGCAGGCAGGGGGACAGCAGGACGTGACACCAAACTGGCACAAGGGTGCCAGGTTTGCACAGAGATGCACTGTCTGCGCCTGTGTTCATACACTCAGCGTGAGTGTGGCACTCACATGTGTTTTCTTTCCCCCACGACCCAACTGGTCTCGTTTCAGAAGATCCAACTGAGAAAGGACTCCTGTTGACCCAGCAAAGATTTCAGCAGCAAGCAGGAACTCACTGGGAAAGGCCTTACGGTGTTCCTGAGTCATTCTGGTGGGCCCCTATTCCACAGTAGCTGCAACGAATTTCCCCAGGCCCAGAAACATTTTTAACTGGTTGCTCAATTCCTTCCAGCACATTGAAAAATCCACTAATAAACTCTCTAATAAAACCCATTCTCGCAGGGCCATGAGCCTCCTCCAGCCCAGCCGCGCTCCCCGGCTCCACGAACCCTCGTGCAGACACACTGCTCCCTCCATCTGCCCCAGCCCAGGCTCCCCATTTATGAATGAATCAGCCCAGACAGCATTTTGCTGTTTCAGAAGATGTCCCAGGGCACTCAGGCTGGCAGAGCACATCTTCCACCCTCACTCACCCTGGGTGTGCATCTCCCCCTTTCCTGCAAACCTGCTGCCCCACCCAGAAGGCAGACAGTTCATTAACACTCCTGGTTTAATTGCTTTCATTGGTGTGAGCCCAGGGCTGGCTGCCAGCCCCACATCCCCCGCAGCAG